TTTTTTTTTTTTTTTTTTTTTTTTTTTTTTTTTTTTTTTTTTTTTTTTTTTTGTTGCTCAGCGGTATTATTCAATTACGTGCATTACATTGAGAGGAACAACAACACGCGGATATCGGTAATTCATGCCACGAATAACAAATGTACAGCGGAGAAAAAAAGAGAAAGTTAACAACAAATACAATTAAACAAACTGTCGGGAAAATAACATCCGCAGCAAGTCGAGTACACACTCGGAGCCCGTTGGCAAAAGGCTCGAGTTTGTCGTAACTTGCCACCTAATGGGCAAAGATCTCAAAACTACAATAATAGCGCGTACGCGGGTATTGTATAAAGAGTACGAACTGGCAATAGCGGCAACGGTAAACGGGAAACTAAACTCCCTCCGGTACCAACTTTCGATCTCCCGGCGAGGCAGGTGTCGTTAGAGAGCGGCAGCTTCTCCCAAAAGCCGATGTTGTTTCCGTGGGATTAGTTTTGCTATAATTAAGCGTTGGTGGAAACTATTGGCGAGCTTTTGGGGGAAAACAACCGAGAGGGGGTGTTGGCTCAGAAAATACAACTCTGTCGGTTGCTCCGTGCCTCTTTGAAAAAAGTCCAAGTTCAATCGTGCACTAATTGGAGAGAGGGAGGAAAAAAAAAGTAGAGCGTGTAATTACGTAGAGATTTTCCTCCCCGCAACAGTGACGCGTTGCCCGTTGAATTTTTCATCCGGAGCGCATATGGGGAGGGAGAGCTGATCGATCGCCCGGTGTTGTAGGAAGGGCAGGCCAGAGAGATTTTTGACTCCTCCGTTATTCATCCGCGTCTGGATGCGACGTGGACTTTTTTTTCCCGATGATATTTTTCCTCCTCCCCTTTTCGGTCGGTACTGCCGTGGTTTTGTTTTCACTGAGCATCCCTTGAAAAATAAACGTATACCAAATGAGTATAGATCAACAAATGAAGCAAAGAGGACTCACACCCACATTTTATAACGCATACACGAGAGAGGGTTGCAATGAAATTTCTCGGGCGCGATTAACATTTCATACGAATTTCCAACTCCCTGCCCACCGCAACACAAAACTTCCTCCAACTCTGTGTGGCATGAAAGATGCAGAGTACCTACTCTCGTGCAAGCGTCTCGGGGAGAACTCGAAAGAAAAGAGCCCCACCTCGAGTGGTCGGGCATATACCCTCTCTGATCCACACAAAAAGGTAGCCACTCCCTTTGCTCGTTCGGCCGATGTATGTGTACCGTGTATCTTTTGGCGCTGAAGCACATATCGGATGAATGAGAGAGACAACTCGTATGGGTCCGTTGTATTGGCACAGAGCTGACGGACAAAGGGAGCATCAGACGGGCGATAAGAAAGGGTACGTGTACGGATCGCCAGGGAGGAGGAGACATCGGACAAAAAAAAAGAAAAAAAGATAACCAAGACGGTCTCGAGTGTGTATGGATCCGGCGGACAATGTACTCTCGTTGTTTTTAGGGTATATGGGCATGTACGTCGCCCGGACGACACGAATTTGGTCTCTGTGGTGAAGCAGAGAGGACAAAAAAAAAAAAAAAAAAAGAAAAAAAATGACGTTGGTACAACCCGTATACACCTAAGGCGTCCCGGCATCAGCGACCCGAGCGATGAGTTTAGCCGTCGTTGTAACGTCACGAAAATAGCGCGTGCTCCCCGGCGTATGGCGGGCGCCACCTAGACAAAAGTACCACGTAATCCGCGATGACGACACGCGTGAGCCTCCCCCCTCCCTCCCTGCGGGAGAAAGAGACTTTGATTAATAACCCCGGGTGCTCTTACCGCGCTGTTATTTTAAGGTGTCCCCCCCGTCCCCGGTGTCATATATATGGGTATATCGTACGGATGCGAGCTCGAGCAGCTTGTACGCCCCGATAGCCGTATCGAGGCATTGTGTATGTATTACATGGAGCTGCAACAAGTTACCGTCGCAAATATGTACAAAAATATACTCGTGTGTGCATGGAAGAGTAACTTGCGATGTAGTTTTTATTGCCATAGTTTGGGCACTGTATACTTATACTCCCCCCCCCTCCGGCCGATGTGTGCCTTTACGAGGGGAAACTTATTACTTTTGGCTCCGCTGCGCGGACCTTTTTCTCTTCTTAAAGGGGAGGTGAAGGTGGAGATGAAGAAATAGTTTGGACAGGGATATAGATTATATATATTGGTTCCGATACCTGCCCCCCCCCCCTGATCCTTGGGCCTTTGAGCAAATGTTTGGGATCCTCGACTGTTAAGGGCGGAATAACTTTGTTACTAGATTAGCGCGTCCGAACGTGACCTATACGACTTTTTTTTTTTTTTTTTTCGCCCGAGAGCTTGAAACGATAACTCACGTAAGAGTCTAGATTCGGAGGAAAACACCTACACCCACACCCTCTTTTCTCCTCCTCTCGTTCGAGGACTTTCCATTACAATTAAGCCAGACGGTCGTTACTTCGCCTCCACCCCCATTTAGTGTAAAAAAGGCATTGGCTCGGACGACGCTATTTTTTGCCATTCCTGACGAAGATGAATCGGTGCTGCGAGCCCTACTATTTTTAGGGCCTGCTTGTATACGTACACGTACGTCTATTCTCTAAGTTCAATGCTTTTGGGAATTAAGAACAATCAAAATCGCTATGTCTCCGTATAATACATAATGCAGATCTGATGAAAAGGACGATGTTCCGTGATCATGAAAATGAGAAAAAAAAATTGTTAATTCTTTCCAAACTGTGGGACTTTGGCCAACTTGAATCGATTATATATATTCGTAAACGGCTATTCGCTTGCGTAAGTATACCGATGATGAATTTCTATACGAGTTTGATGGACGCGTGCCAGCTAGGATGAATTTCAGGGCAATGTGTATGGTTTAGCTCGTATAGCTACGAGAGGAGGAAGTGCATTTAAAAATTGTACACCCACACGCCACGTGCGAGCTTTTTCAAAGCAACTACACCTACACCCACGTAGGCAAGTGTAGACGAGATAATATACGGCCCTTTGGATTTGGAAATTTATGCAACACCTTCGTCCCGCCTCTCTTTTGGGTCTGTGTTATTTCGAGAGCCGATTCAAATCGGTATAAGGTATACCTACGAAATGGGAACGAAAATACTTAATCGGCACAGGTAAATCCACTCGCACCCCAAGTGTTAAATAATAATAATAATTATTATTATTATCGTTCGGTACAAACGAGGCCATCGATAGCGTTTAATTATATACAATCATTAAAATTATGAAACACGTGGCGATGATCTCATGGTGTATACATGTAGCCTGACAAGCTTTGCCCATATGAAACACGCGGAAGTGCATCGTTTCCTCAAAGCGTTTCCTGTGTATATTGACAGAGAGAACAGCACTCGATCGCGCTTTATATTGTCCACACTTTGGTGAGACAACTACAGCCCAGTCATACACAGGCGTGGGTGAAAATACATATAATACATACCTACACCTACTGGGTCGAGTGAAGGCTTGGACGCGCAACAGCGGTGCACTCAGCCGATGTTCTGAAAATAAAGCAGCTCTCTTCCCTCACCTACGCGCACGTGTCTCGGCCTCTCTTGTATCCCGGCCGGACCACTAAACTCCCAAGTGTAAACAGACGCACCGTCTATACATGTGCATGATACAGGAGCGTATGGACGCGCGAATGCGATAAACTATTCGTCCACCCTGACAGGGGTCATCCTTGTGTGCGC